GCATCAACGTCACTATCGTTCATGTCGATCTCAATTAAAGATTTACTGCGAGAAATTTAACAACAGAGTGGTATTACTAGCATGTGGAACAAAGGTACTCAAAGAATTATACATGCATATGACCCATTTATAATGACCTCCAACATATTACCAACCAATTAGGCGAAGCATAATAAGCGTACATTTTTTCCAAATTGGAATGCACAGATGTATGCCACCATACACTGTTCAACTAAGATCCAAGGAAACAGAAAAGCAGTGGATCACTAAACGGGATTTGATCGTCCGCAGTGTATAAATGTATCAGACAGACGACAACCATATAACCTATTATGAGGTAATGACGTCATCTTTATCTGACAGTGAGGCCATTAAAATAAGCGAGTGCAGCGTATACAAAGGATATTAGGGTAGTTATGCGAGGATACGACACTCATTAACATGATGCTAAAAGGGTGCATGTTCGCTGACCTGCGTATTCGATTATCTTTTTCAGCCTTGTGCAGTCTTGGTACGAGTAATAGATTATACATTGAGCCGGCCTGCCGTCTCGACCTGCTCTACCACTTTCTTGGTAGTAGCCTTCGACCGACTTGGGCATACTAAAGTGTATGACGAACCGGACGTTCGGTTTGTCGATGCCCATTCCAAAAGCGATCGTCGCACAAATGACCTAAATAAATAAATGCAGTACAATAATCAAACAGCGTTAAAGATGTATGTAATAGCACGTGATTGAAAGCTGATACGTACTTGAATTTTCCCTAAAACCCAATCTTTATGTACAGCATTGCGCTGGCGATCCGCTTGGCCGGCATGATATGCTTCAGATTTGATGCCGCGCTTTACTAACATATCAGCGACGTCTTCGCATTCCTTCCTAAATGAACCGACTTTCGAACCGGTCGCTGATCGAACGTTAATATAAAATAAGTACCTTGAGAGACAATAGATGATACCGGATTGATTACGGTATGTGGTCTTGATCATTTCGATGATGTCCTTCAGCACGCTCTTTGCCTTTGGAAAAACTTTGTACTGAAGGTTCGGACGAACGAACGTGCTTATGAAACTGAAAGAACTATCGTAGATTAAATACGCAAATCTGCATTAAACAACGGACCATTTCGACTGTCCCATGCAAAGTTGATTTTTAGAATCTTCGACAATCTTCGGCGTTGCTGTAGCAGTCAGCGCCATAAGAGGAACCTTTGGAAAACGTCTTCGAAGTAAAGACAGTTTCTTATAATCCGGTCGAAAGTCATGACCCCACTAAAATGTCAATTTTGATTCAGAGCAACAAACTAACGAATAGCATGCAAATTTTAAAAACTGATAATTACGATCAAATTTACTTTGATGTGTATGTACAGGTATATATATGCAGGAAACGTACACCGGGATGATCATCATCTAATATCCTGAATTTTAAGATGAGCATAAACTGAAGCGCAAATCAATCTCAATGGTTATAACCTAAAGGAGCCAAGTCGATTAAAGGTCACAAAGATTGAGAAAAATCTCGTGATACAGAAATCTTAAGAACACTGTCTGTGCAGAAATTATTCGTGTACCAAAGGTACTTTTCGCTGATGTGATATATAACAGATTCCCAGATGGTCATGGTGACAAATGAAATCAAATAATGAGCATTTTTTTCTCGAAAATTCAATGACAATAAAGCAGCAAGGTCTGGTTTTAGCTGATGATATGCTACTTGTATATAAAATCTGGTGGTAACCAGAAAGCGACCCACTGACTAACTGTTGCATAACTGCTCTAAACCAGATGTCATGCCGCATCGCAGTGCCCCTTATATTTGGCTAAAGTGCCGCTTAAACAGGCAACGGATCCGTTGCATCTGAGGACATTCAGTGCTCGATGCACCTCACCTATTTTGCTCGCTATAACAATCTCTTGGTCATTTAAGGTGTGCTACTACCGCATAAACACAGACAAGCAGCATCCTCCAGAAAATCGTTGATGTTATATTTCAAATAAGCACGAAGGGTAATTCTCTGAAACCTAAGAACCCCTGAACTAGGAGGGGACAGTACTGCATCATGACACATGATTCTTGGAGAAGTTATGCGTAAACTAATTTGTGGGTCGATATATCAGGTAACAAATCACCAGCCAAGAATTTAGCCTTGTTTACTTGCCGTCATCCGCCTTTCGAAAAAGTTTCCATTACTCTATTTCATTTGACACCCCTGTGGTCGCCTGATAAACTATGATATATCCCATCAAAGAACATTTTCTATTAAAGCAGTGATGTGAAAATTTTGATATTGCCGAGGCGATTCATCTGCAATTATAAACTTTAATTAACTCCATAACTTCGATGCTTCAGAGTAATAACTGAAAAATAGGAGGAAGAACAGAAACAATAACCTATATCACAACTGTAAAAACTAAACGATAATCTACTATAAATAAAAAAGGCATGCAAATTAAGGAAATACTAATAAACATATGTAGTTAATACCTGTGACACACAGTGAACTTCATCAATCACAAAACGAGCTAGCAAATTCCGTTCGTACAAGTTGTCAAACATTTCTAGAAGCTTGTTAGATGCCGCAATCTGAAGCAAAATCATCAAAAAATATTATGGAAGATAATATAATAAACATACTTTCTCTGGAGTGGTGTAAAGTAGTCGAACAGACGGGTCTTTCTGGTAAATTTTCATCATCAGCTTATCAAGCATATCACCAGAATATTCGGCTGTCAATGCGACGACTCCAACCTACACAGACGTAGTCATTTAATTTAACGAGAGCATTCGATCATATTAAAATATATAATACAAATAGGCAACGCCGTCGCTGCAAGTACCAAGCACGAATCAGAAAGGAGAATGGATCAAAGTCGTGGCGAGATCTCCCGTAATACTTAGCCGCCTGCCCCTCATGACATTATCATGCTCGGTCGTCGCCAGAGTGACCAAGAGCTGTGCAAGCTGCAGAAAGTCGGCGATCAGAACCTGCTCATCGCCCTCTGTCTCTCGAAGGCGTAGCAGCACAACAACGCTAACGAAGATCGACGGAACGACGACGAAGATACCAGTCAGCAACGGAGTCGCTACCCGTTCTGA